TTGACAACTTCCAATTTTCCTAGATTCATACTTCGTACATTCCATGTTCCGATGATTAATGGATGTCTGCAGCTGTTTCTCTTCAATTTGAGTGATGCCACATTAGCAAATGGAGGTCTCGAAAGCTTTACCTTATCCATAGGAGTAAGGCTGTGCTTACTCAGATAATGCAGCTCTTTCCCCATCCTATTTTGAGAGCCTTCTAACCTAACCGGACTATTCATAAAATTGTGCAGTAATGTATCAAACAGTGTTTCTTTGATATTCGTAAGGTTTTCCCTGGCCAATTCTTTGAGAAGTGGATGGCCTCCTCCTTCTTCCTAGTCTGTTTCAGTCTGTAAGCTGGGCTGATACCTGTGTACCATGTGCATCCCGCTGGATGGAGCCTCAAAACTCACATCAACACGTCACCACAGTAGGACAAACCAACAGACAAGTTTGCCTCCCCGTTGGAAACCTCTCGTACCACCCTTACCTGGGTCCCTGCGGCCGACTCCTCCTCTGTACAGATTCCTAGGCCTTTTCATCCCGTTTCTCCCGCTCTCCTGCCCTGCTGCTTCGGGCATGCCTGAGTTCCTCTCCTCACCTGGATCCCTGCAGCTGAATGCTCCTCTGTCCAGGTTCCTGGCTTTTTTTATCCCCTTTCTCCCACTCTCCCACCCTGCTGCTTTGGGCGTGCCTGATTTCCCTCTCCTCACCTGGATACCTGTGGCTGACTGCTTCTCTGTCCAGGTTCCTGGCTTTTAATCCCCTTTTTCCTGCTCTCCCACCCTGCTGCTTTGGGTGTTCCTGAGTTCCCTCTCCTCACCTGGATCCCTGCTGCTGACTGCTTCTCTGTCAGGGTTCCTGGCAACAGAAGTCTCTTAAAATATTTGTCCTTTTGTGATTAATTGCACTCAGCATAATGGCCTCTAAGTTCAGCCATGTTATGAGATGTTTTGCAGATTCATCATTATTTTTTAACACTACGTAGTATTCCATTGCATGTATGTATCAGAGTTTGTTGATCCATTCCTGCACTGATGGACATTTAGGTTATTTCCATCTTTTTGCTATTGTGAATCATAATGTGATGAAAATGGGTGTGCATATATCTGTTCATGTCACAGCTCTTACTTCTCTAGGATATGTACCTTGTGGTGGAATTGCCGGATCATATGATATTTCTATTTCCAGCTATTTAAGGAAGTGCCATAACATTTTCCATAGAGGTTGCACCAATTTACAGTTCCACTAGTAGTGTATGAGGGTTCCAATCTCTCCACGCCATTACCAGCATTTGTCGTTTTCTGTTTTGTTTTTTTTTTTAACTTTACTATTAGTGGTGGGGTGAGATGATATCTCATTGTTGTTGTTTTGATCTGCATCCCTCTAATGGCTAATGACTGGAGCACTTCTTCATGTGTTTGTTAGCCACTTGAATATCCTCTTTGGTGAAGTGTCTATTCATGTCCTCTATCTATTTTTTAACTGGATTATTTGTCTTTTTGTTGTTAAGTTGTTGAAGTTTTCAGTAAATTTTGAAGACTAACCTCTTATCTGATAAGTTGTTGCCAAAATATTTTCCCAGCTATGTGTTCTCTTTTTATTCTTTTGGGGTAATCTTTTG